GGACGGACGTGCAGTTCAGTTTTTGGGCACGCATACGGTGCTGCAGGGATTCTTAGGTGTACCTCTTCGGGCTCTTGGATACCTTTTTCTCGTCATATGTGTGCGTATTCTTTAGATCCTCAGATGGCTCTAGCACTTTCGTGACCACGGGCTGAGAGTCTTTGCTAGATTTTGGCATTTAGCAACTGACATACGGATTAATGTGAAGACAACAACAACAACAACTGAGGTGCACTGCATCAGCTCTATCTCACGTATCTGCCCTTACGTTTTTCTTTTTTCGAGCGGCAGCCCACAATGTACCCTATCGTCCGATACTAAAAAAATTGAAATTCGTTCTCACGCCCGAGAACGAGTTGTTGGCGCGAGAGGTGGCATAAAGGTTCCTTTTTGGCCGGTTAACTCTAATTGTGGACGACGAGACGTGTCTCCCATCCCTTTCTCTCTCATAGCTCGGTTTTGGTGTCTCCGGGGGGTACGGTCATGGGGGCACAACCGAGGGAAAACGAGTCAATATCATGTCACTCCCGCCCCCCCAACAAGATGTAAGCTCATCTGTCGCCGTGAAGAGACGGATAGTCTACATGGACGATATTTCCGAGCAGTGCAGCACGACACTCATCATGGTCTCTGTTCACAATACCTTTCGATGGGTTATCGCTCACATTATTATAAGAACTCTCTTACGGCCGGCAGATAAAGAAGTCGGAAATAATAGTGGACGAGCACTTCTCCTTTATCTTTCCCGTCCCAAACCCTTCCTAGCACGCATGGAAACAGCAACAACGACGTCGAGGCACATAGCGCCCATGGTACAGTCAGTCTTCATCCCCCTTCCAACAGCCATCGTCCTTCAAGATACCGATGTTTTAGCATGCCGTTGTTGTTGTTGTGGTTGTTGTTGTTGCCGCGGAGGATGCTGCTGCTGTCGCTGCTGTCCGCGTATGGTTGTGAGCATATCCTTCGGCTTGACGCGGCGCTTCACGGCTCCGTCCTTGTCCACGTACACCTGAGAGCCTTGCATCTCGCGGATCAAGCTCTGCAGGCCCCACACCAAGAGATCACAGCGCTGTTCATTTCGAAGACCACATTCGAGCATGAGAAGAGAGGAAGACGGGGGTTCGGGTGCGGGAACTGAAATAATAGTGGTTTCCAGCTAAGTGGGTACTCGCAGGGCGAAGAGGGATGGATGACCCGAAGGAGGGGAGGGGGGGGGGGGGGGGGGGGGG